AAGAAGGGACCATTCCCTGGAGAAGGATGTCATGCTTGGTAGGGTGGAGGGTCAATGAAAGAGGGGGAGGCCTTCAACGAGATGGATTGACACGGTGACTGCAATGATGGGCTCAAGTATAGTAGGGATTGTGGAGCTGGCACGGGATCGGGCAGTGTTTCATTCTGCTGTGCATGGGGTTGCTATGAGTCAGAAACGACTAAATGGCACTTAACAACAACAACAACAAGTATTTTTCATTTACTTTAGTAAAAAGATATAAATCAATTACTTATCTTAGGAAATTATAATTAAATATTTCTCTTCTGTAGTCATATGAGGCTACAATAATAAGAAGAGTGTTTTAAATATTTCCTTTTTTCTAGGGCTGTAACTTCTCAGGATTTAAAGCAAATGAGCTCACTCAACTACCCAGACATTTGGATGCTGAACGAATTTATCTTTTTATTTTAAAAGCCCATACCTTTGATGTATGTAAACATTTTATTTTTATTTTATGATAAACTTTAAGAATATAATTTAGTGAATCAGAACTTTCTTTAAAACTATGACAAATGATGTGTTCAACAAGATTTAATTCGGGGGCATTTAATCTGGCAGGAAAGACTGGTGATATCTAACACACTGATTATCAGAAGAGAGTGTATTAGACTGTGTGCTGCCTGCCGCCTCAGAAGTGTAAGGCTACGAGTGTGCGTTAGCTTGGCATGTGACTAAAACAGATATATTCCCCTTCCTGTTACTGCATTAAGGCTTACTGTTCATTTTGACATTTTTGGTTGCTTTGACTAAGTATAGCTATATTTTGAAGAATTTAGAGTTTAAAGTTTTCAATGATGGTAAACATAAATAAAACTGAGAATTAAAGCAACAAAGCAATTAGTTTATAGCAAAAGCCATCTTCATGTGAAATCGCCAAATAATTTAAATAAAACAATTCTGGTTTTCCCCCTTGTATTTAATTTTCTAAATTTTTCTTTTTGTTTATATACTTCACATATTTTTTTGTCTTTAAAAAATACTAAATCTATATTGAAGCTACTACCAGTACACTCCATACTATACTTAATGGTCTACGAAAAAGAAATAGCCCCACAAAATACATGGTAAAGTTTTCTTAGTGGAAAAGTTTCCACAATGTTCTTTCTGCAAACTTGTACTTGAGGAACATACTGAGAATCCATAGTATTAGATTTCATTGAAAGGAATCTTAAATGCTATTGAATCTAGCATTTAAAATATTTCAGTGAATAATAAGAAAAAATCATCTATTGCATGTGGCTAAGGAGCTCTGGTGGCATAGTGGGTAAGGCATTTCGCAGCTAACCTGAAGGTTGGCCATTCAAACCCACCAACTGCTCCACAGAAAGAAGATGAGGCGATCTATATCCATAAAGATTTACAACCTTGGAAACCCAATAGGAGTTGCTGTGAGTTAGAATCAACTCCATGGCAGTGGGTGGTGTGTGGGTATTGCATGTGCCTATGCATACCAAGATTTATAGTCTCTAGTAGGCATGGTAAATAGATTTAACCTTATATGCCAACTTTGATCACTTGTTTAAGAAGAATGCTGTGCTTACACAGATCCTATGGTCAAAAAATAGCCCCAACAATGGGTTTAATATTTTAAAATCATGGAGATGATGCAGGAGTAGACAATGTTTTATTGTGCTATACATAAGGTGACCGTGAGTCAGAGCCAACTTGTCAGCAGCTAACAATAACAACACTGGGATAGACTTTTGTGATTGATTATTGATATCTGTCTTCAATGTGAAAATGAGGAAATTGTGGCATGTAGCTTATGTTTTTACTACTCTTGTTTTAACCCACATTCTGATTGTAATAACTACTAGCCAAATATGGTTACTGATCTTTTTGAAATGTGGCTATGGTGGCTGAGGGGCTGATTTTTTCATTTTATTTTCTTTTAAATAATTTAAATATAAATTTAAAAACTAATACTCAATTCAGTTAATGAAAAATTTTTGAGTATGGTTGGAATGAAATTACAGTGATATTTGCTACAGAAACTAAACACTAGTATTTTTTAATGATAACTTATAAAGTAATTGGTAATTTTCTTTGGAGGGCCCTTATATTTCACAGTTCAATTTTAATTTACATTTTCACCGCCTTTTCTCTGATATCTTCTTACCATGATGGATTTTAGCAACCTAATTTGACTACAATACACAGAAGATGTTTAAAAGTATTTTATTGTTTATAACCTAATATTTCTGAGGAAAATTTAGTATTCAAATTGAAATGTGCTGCAAGTATAAAATACATACCACATTTCAAAGACTCAGTACAAAAAAAGAATGTAAAATATTAATAACTTTTATTTTTTAACATAATAATATTCTAAATATCTTTAGTTGAATGAAGTGTTATTAAAATTAATTTTACTTTTTACTTTATTATATCACTATTGTTGTTGTTGTTATGTGCCATCGAGTTGGAGCTGACTCATAGCGACCGCTGCTTGGGTTTCCAAGGCGGTATCACTACGGAAGTAGATTGCCCAACCTTCCTTCCGAGGAATGGCTGGTGGGTTTGAACCTCCAGCCTTCTGGTTAGCAGTCAAGTGCCTTAGGCACTATGCTACCAGAGCTCCCTATATCACTATTAGAAAATCTAAAATATCTACGTGGCTCAAATTTAATTTCTATTGAACAGTGCTTGTCTATAATCATTGAATATATACTTTTTATAAACCCTACTTACATTAACATGTTTGATAGTGTATTTTAGTTTGATCTTCATGTTTTTTTTTGTTTTTTTTTTAACAGGAAAAAGTTTTTAAAATCTGGAGGACTCACTTTCTCTCAGAAGCCTCTATTGCTCTTTTGCATGATTCCTTTTGGTGGTGGTTTCTCTATAAATTTAAGGTATAATGATATTTTAAAAACTGTTTTATAAAGTTGATTTGCAGCATAACTAATCTATCAGTAGAGGTAACACTGTCACAAAAATGTTTTTGTAAATTTGTTCACAGAAATTAGTTTTTTAGTATTCCACGTTAGGAATCCTATTTGAAGTCTAGCACTTTCCCAGAGGAGTTAAGACATTAAAGCGTAATTCAACAACCATGAATCTTTTGTTAATCAGAAAAAGATTAATGAAATCAACTAACAAACATTGTAGTTTGATTAACCAACTACAAATTAATCAGCGAATCAAGCATTATAGTGAATAATGAAGTTGCAGTGTTACTTAATACTAGAAAGTACTGATAAACAGAAAAATACAGTAACATCAAAGAAGGTTCCTTTTGGAAAATAGTCTTTACTTGATTCAGGAAGGCAAAAATTATAGTTTAAAAGAGGACATATCCTATATGACTATGAGATCAGAAGAACTAGATGGTGGCTGGCTACCAATGTCATCCACTTGGAGGGTGATCTATGTAGGAGATCCTGGATAGAGTGGGAGAACAAGGTGGAACAAAACTCAAAATCATTTAAAAAAAAAAAAAAGAAAGAAAAAGAACCAGGTTTGCTGGTCTCATAGAGCCTGATGGAATCACCGAGACTATGGCCACTAGGGGCACACTTCAGGTCTGGAATTGAACCCACTCCTGTGGCTTCCAGCCAAACAAAAGGCAGGCATATGAGCTGAACATTTACATTATGTAGATACACTCCTTGG